GCTTCTATTTCTTTCTTGGTCATCGAATCCAATTTTCTATAAATGATTCAGCATCAATATAATCATTCAAAATGTGGCCACACTAGGTGTGGGTGTGAGTGCGAGTGGAGTGCGTGGGTGTGGGGTTGTGGATGGGGGTGTAGATGAAAAAAACACTTACACCCACACCCATTAACTCAGTTATTGACTGGAACGATTACCTTCTTAAGAGACTGTCCACGAGAAAATCGAACATTTATCAATAGGACCATATCCTCGAAAAATGTTGACCCCCATATTTTATGATTGGAAATGAAAGAGCAAAGTGAGAAACCTAGAAATTCAAAATTTTAGCTCATTTTAACTTATCAATAAAAAGTTATGAAGTACACACTGAAAGCACCCTCACGACAGATTTTGAAAAAAAAAAGTTTTTTTTTGAAAAATTTGGTAAGTCAGTATTTGGCCATTTTTTCCACAGTGAATTGTCACAATCTTTTCGAATAATATATCATTTGATAGAGGAAATTTCGCTCTACAAAACTATATATATGGCCTTCTTTGGAACCTCCATTATATAGGTACACCAGGCTCAAAACTTGATCAACCTTACTGCTTTTTTCGCATTTTTTTCTCGTTCTTCTTTTCATTACAAGCTGTATTTCTCTGCTAGTTCTAACGGGACTAGAGGTTTCTTTATGGATTTAGATAGAGCGAAGAAAGAGCTATCCAATGAGTATAAAATGGTTGAAAGCAAAGTACCAACAAGCCTTCATTTGAGCCACATAAGATATTCTACTACCATCTCAATAATCATATATTTCATATATTTTTTATTATTTTCCTATATCCTTTATGTATGTTTCATCTTTAAATTTGTTCAAACTAGCAATTTAATTTAAATTTACTTTTCAATGCTGCAAAATACATCAGACTGATTATCTCAAAAATTCTTAAAGTCATCTATATTAATTGATTAGCGATGCCTACAGAATATGTGTAGTACAATCAATACTTCGCATAGAAGTCATAGTTTGTAAAACTAAAGTAGTTGCATTTATAAGACTTTTATGTGGTACAAGATTTATTATTTTGCTTTATTTGTTTTGATTTTTACTAACTATGAGTATGAAGAAAGGATATTTTATTGTACATTAATGACAATTGACAAATCATCAAAATTGGAATATTGCTATATTCCATTAAATTTCTGCGACAAAGATTAACTTTTGATCAAAAAGACGATTTTGCAAGGGGAAACAGTTGCTTCTGTGTCATTAGAATCCCTTGGAATCCCCTGGAATCAGTCAGAGGAATTAGTCAATAGGGTCAGTGAAAAACAGACATAGAGGTCGGAAATTACTTATATAATTAAACACAAGGGGGAAACTGCTGATTCCGGACAACAGAATCAACTGGAATCACATGGAATAATCGGAATTCGCCGGAATCACTCAGAGTCATCATGAGATCAATAGGAATCCAGTTTTCAGAAATGTGCTCCAAGGTTATTTCGGGTGGAGAATCCGAATCTGAGGTCCATTTGCTTCGAAATCCCATTGGTCTGTCGGGAACCAATGGAAATGGAGTTTCCGGAAAAAGTGTTCTCCAGGGGTTATTTGGGATGGAGAAGCGGAATCTGAGGTCCATTTGCCTCAAGGGTGTGGGTGGGTGTGTGAGTATAGAGAGAAATGACATCCACACTCATAGCCACACCCACATTCACACCCACAGCAATCTCCACGTACAGTTTTCATCCATCGCAAAGATTCTACTTTTTTGGCATCTTAGAGATCTTAGCAAGACCTAGAAGTGATACAGATGTAAGAATGGTTACGAAATACTTTCTTTTTTGGTAGGAAACTAGGAAAAGGCTTCTGAATTTTTATCTCCGGAAAGAACATTCTCGAAAGTTTTACCGAATTCCCTTCGAAGATGAATGTCTCCTTGAGGGTGGGTGTGGGTGTGGTGTGGGTGTGGGTGTGGGTGTGTGGGTGTGTGGGTGT